GGTTTTTTTTTTCACCTTGACAGTTTTTTGACGGTTTTTTTTTTCACCTTGACAGTTTTGACGGGTTTTTTTTTTGTTTTTTTTTTCACCTTGACAGATTGACGGTTTTTTAATTTACACCTTGACAGATTGACGGTTTTTTTAATTTACACCTTGACAGTTTGACTGTTTCTTTTTTCACCTTGACAGTTTGACGGGTTTTTTGATTTACACCTTGACAGATTGACAAGTTTTTGTTTGTTTTTTTAGTTATAAACGTGTTGAAGTGTTGAACAAAGAAAATGGTCAAAAAGAGATGTGTTTGCACGATGTTATAACTAACTAGACAGTCCAAATCGTTGTAAATGTGCTCTTACAGTTTAATTCTCTACAAAAGTTGAATAATATCCAGTGTTTTTATTCGTGCCAGTAAAATCAAATCACAAAATGATACTCAACGCAGTTAATTTCGCGGTTTCGTGTTCGGCTTCACGTTACTCTCCGTAATCACGAAGGAAGTAACAGAAATTAGGCCTAGTTCGGTTGCTTCACCCAAAGTAAACACGTGAGAAACTGACACTAAGTTAGTCCGGTGCGGTTGTTGCTACTGTATCTCAGTTTTGTCATATCCCGTCAGGTGCTTTGAGGTCAGATAAGAACGCGCACAGCCCTTCTATACAACTTCCTCTGTCTTACAAAACTTTGTAGAAAAATGTTTTCTCGTGGTATTTTACACACAGGACGGGAGGCTCTAATTTCTTTTATTGTGAAATATTTATTTAGAAGGGTTACATCACAGGAAAATCCTTTGCTGTTCGTATGTGGTCAGTCTGAGAAAAACTTGATAAAAATGTTTCTTTTTTGGGAGGGAATTTAACGACTGATTGAAAGAAATATTTCGAAGATGGGAGCATGAACGAAAAAAACGTATTTGAGTACATATCTGTTGTTGTTCTGTTTATAAAGTTATTCATGTCGGTATTATATGCATGCATGATTTTATTATAGAATGTCAAATAAATTGATGTGAATTGATTATCTCCCCCTTGACTCTTCTCATTGAAATAGCTGTCAAAAAGCGCCCACTTCGGTAGCGATTTTTTCTTTCACTCGGTAAAATGACTAGGAACGGTGGCATCTAGCGTAAACAATCCCAGTGGCTACTTAACGATCTTATGTGCTGAATGCACCCATCGCATCGAAACCAAACATTTTTGCCAACTATGCAATGCGGTCAGTTTCCTTTGTTTAAAAACAAACATAATTTTTCTGATTTAAATAACACGTGGAATGACAAAAGACGGTTATAAACAGCCCACTAGACAATCATATTGAATATACGCTCTGATCCGAGGGATCGGGTTGACTGCATATTTTATATTTATTCATCAATATTTTAGAAAAAGTACCGTTGAATTGTTTCAGTAGACATCTGGCAGTATGTTAGTAATTGCAAGTCAAGGAACACTTGTTCTATGTTTGTTTTATTGTTAACTTTATTTAATGTATGATTACTAGATAAGGTGAGAGTTAATTACTTCAATTAATAAAATAACACACGCTGCAAGTTTCGGAATTTTGTCCAGAGGTGTGCGTGTACAACATTTATTATGTAAAAATCGCATAAAACAAATACTCGTTACGCTAAGTTTATGTATAAGCACGTGCAATATTTTGTTGGCCAGAGTTTGAAAACTGCCCTTGTTTGTCTGCGGTACACTGTACATGAAGGTAACATCATATTTTTGGGAGGTGGTCCAACCTGAGACAAAGAAATAGTAACCGGAGCTTGATACTCGCGCAACAGTGAAGATTTTTATTAGGTTTAGTTGATCGGATTGGTAGCTAAGCCTTGAATGTTTGTGAAAGTATTATTTCTATATCGGATTAGTAGCTAAGCCTTGAATGTTTGTGAAAGTATTAAATCTATATCGGATTAGTAGCTAAGCCTTGAATGTTTGTGAAAGTATTATCTCTATATCGGATTGGTAGCTAAGCCTTGAATGTTTGTGAAACTATTATATCTGCATCGGATTGGT